TTGCTGGCCTGCTCAGTCACCTGGTGCAGCTGGAACTCCTCCCTGCACGGCAGCTACTGGAGCTGGCAAGCTGTGCCCCCCAGGGAGAAGCAGGAACAACAGCTGAGAGCTGCTGGAAGGGGCCGCTGCTTTCTGAGCGGGGAGACTGAGGGGAAGGGGGTCCTGCCTGTGTGTGGGGGGGGACGTGACTCTAGCTGTTCCGGGGGCAGCTGAACCTTTAAATTGTGTCCCTGCACTATCAGCAGGTCTGGGTCATCTCTGAGAGCAAGTGAACCTTATTATTTCTCTGAACTGTCAAGGAGATGGCTGGATATTACAGAGCACACGATATTGGGAAAATTCAGCACGGGGAGTGGGTTGCAGTCACTGTTCTGGTTGTAACCAAGGCTGGTGGCAGCCAGAGTGCTGATCCAGTGTGGTCTAGCACACAGACACATAGGGTGTGACCAGGGGCGGCTCTAGCTTTTTTGCCGCCCCAAGCATGGCAGGCAGGCAGGCTGCCTTTGGCAGCCTGCCTGCGGGAGGTCTGCCGGTCCCGCGGCTTCGGCGTACCCACCACCAAATTGCCACCAAATCCGTGGGACCGGCGGACCTCCCACAGGCAAGCCGCCGAAGGCTGCCTGATTGCCGCCCTTGCAGGGACCAGCAGGGCCTCCCCACGGCTTGCCGCCCCAGGCACGTGCTTGGAGCGCTGGTGCCTGGAGCCTGAAGGCTGATTGTGAGCAGCCCAGGTTGGAAGCTACAACAGCAAAGCATTGTGAGGTACCCAAGGTTACAGAGCAGGCAGTGACCAACCCCTCAGTGGTCTGGATTTCACCCCCCAACCACCACCACCTATCCCAAACTGAACTCTGTGACAGTATTTCAGTCCCGTCACACTCATTCCATTGTTGGTTTCTCTGCTAAAACTGGCAAAGAGGAGACCAACTCTCATGGAAATGTTTGTGATCTGGGCACTGTATGCTAAAATCTGCATTGAAACCACCAATTGATTTTATAGGCTGTAGAAAGGCCATCAGATGGTATTAATTTGGTGATAGTACAGGCCTGGGCTGTGTTCACGGCAGCAACTTAGTAGAGGAGAAAGCATCTGCAGATTGTCATCGATCCGCTGAGTTGTCTTCTACCACTAGAATGACCAGACAACAGATGTGAAAAATCAGGACAGGGGGTGGAGGGGTAATAAGACCCTATATAAGAAAAAGACCCAAAAATCGGGACATCTGGTCATCCTATCTACCACCACCAAATTTTATGATAAACGCTGACCCTTATGAGTTGTCTGGGCACATATAGTTCATTCTAGGAGAATGTGTCTCCATCTCGTGGCTGAGCTATATAAAAGGTCAATGAGTCTTCTTCAGCTTGTGGACTTTAGATTAGTAGAGATGCTATTAGTGGTAAAAGTCCCAAGTTCAAACCCCACCACCAGTTCAGTTATACATATCCACTCAGATACAAATAGGTTTTTCGCAATTAAGTTTGACTGAATTGACTGAAATAAAATTTGTTGTAACTAAGCTGTTCAGACCAAACCAGTAACCACTGAGGTTTATTCAACCCTAGTCTGACTTTCTGAGAACACTAGTTTGTGTTATGAATGCATCTTTTGGGCACAGTCTGAAAAAGCCAATATAAGGATCAAGTAAACTAATTTACAAGGCACGTCAGTGTACAGACTTTTCTAGTTCATCTCCATCTAACCTTTTCCAGTGACTCATGACCTTTCACCAAGGACAAGTGCAGAGTCCTGCACTTGGGACGGAAGAATCCCATGCATGTTACAGACTAGGGACCGAATGGCTAGGAAGCAGTTCTGCAGAAAAGGACCTAGGGGTTACAGTGGATGAGAAGCTGGATATGAGTCAACAGTGTGCCCTTGTTGCCAAGAAGGCTAACGGCATTTTGGGCTGTATAAGTAGGGGCATTGCCAGTAGATCGAGGGACGTGATCGTTCCCCTCTATTCAACATTGGTGAGGCCTTATCCGGAGTACTGTGTCCAGTTTTGGGCCCCACACTACAAGAAGGATGTGGAAAAATTGGAAAGAGTCCAGCAGAGGGCAACAAAAATGATTAGGGGGCTGGAGCACATGACTTATGAGCAGAGGCTGAGGGAACTGGGATTGTTTAGTCTGCAGAAGAGAAGAATGAGGGGGGATTTGATAGCTGCTTTCAACTACCTGAAAGGGGATCCAAAGAGGATGGATCTAGACTGTTCTCAGTGGTACCAGATGACAGAACAAGGAGTAATGGTCTCAAGTTGCAGCGGGGGAGGTTTAGGTTGGATATTAGGAAAAACTTTTTCACTAGGAGGGTGGTGAAGCACTGGAATGGGTTACCTAGGGAGGTGGTGGAATCTCCTTCCTTAGAGGTTTTTAAGGTCAGGCTTGACATAGCCCTGACTGGGATGATTTAGTTGGGAATTGGTGCTGCTTTGAGCAGGAGGTTGGACTAGATGACCTCCTGAGGTCCCTTCCAACCCTGATATTCTATGATTCCCATAGCACTGCTTAATCACTTCCTTGGTTTCCCAAACTCTAGCTTTTTATTTAACCCATGAGCTATGACGTGTCAGATGCTGCAATGTTATTGTAGGTGAGTTGGTCCCAGGATATGAGAGAGACATGGTGGTTGAGGTAATATCTTTTATTGGACCAGCTTCTGTTGGTGAGAGAGACAAGCTTTCTAGCCACACTGAGCTCTTCTTCAGGTGACAGGTCTGGGAAACGTACTTGAGTGCCACAGCTAAATACAAGATAGAACAGATTGTTTAGCATTAGTAGTTAATACATGTTTCAAGGGACAATTCAAGGTGAAGTGGCCAGTTAACACCCCTCCATAGGGAGGAAAAGTGGGGGAGAAGAAGCAACTGGGAATTGGAGGAGGTTGTTAGTGGGTTACAGATTGTTGTAATAAGCTATAAATCCAGTGTCCTTATTAAAACCATGATTTTTAGTGTCTAACAAAGTTATGAATTTAAGCTCCCGGGCTCATGTTTTGAAAGTGTTGTGCAGGCTGCCTTTAAGGCTGAGGACGGATAGGTCAGACATAGGAGTGATGACATTTAGTGCCCTGGATGAGGTACATCACATGTGTAGGAGCGATGGATCTTGAAAGGTGCATTGTGGGGGTGTTGATCATAGTAGCAGTGGAGATATGTTTGTAGATTTTGCATCTGTTGTTCTGGCAGGGTCTGGTGCTGCTTTGAGTTGGTATGTCCTGGTCCGTGGGGAAACCTGTGAGGAAGAGCTCTGTGTAAGCTTGAAAGCTTTTCTCTCACCATCAGAATTTGGTCCAGTAAAAGATAGAAACACAAACCTGGCGAGGTAATAAGATGCTGCAGCTTCATTTTCAAAAAGTGAAGCTACTGGCAAAAGAGTCTCCTGAACTGAGACCAAGAGCAACAGTTAGGTGCCAGGTGTCAATTCTAGCAATTCTGACTTGATGGAAAATTTCTTTAAGTCCTTGCCAGGAACAGCCCAACTCACTTTCTAAAACAAGTAAGTGGCCACGAATTGAAATCACTGAGCTCATCCAATACTGGTGTTTATTTTCTGTTGAACATTAAGTGATTTGATGCTTTTCATCAAAACAGAAGCCTCCATCCTGCCATCAGATCGATGGTGATAGACCTTTGCACCCATTGATTTCTAGTGTCAACAGTGCACAGAGACTGCCACTATTTTAAAATTTTCAGTGTATAAAACAGCTACTTGAACTATTTTCTTTTGTAATGCAGCAGGTAAGGACCGATAACCTGCCTCATATGTTGTAGAAGAATTTCTGGAGCACTATCAGACTGTTAGCCATTGAACTGAAATGGGGTTTTCCTTTATTTAGCCACTAATTTATCATCTGTAAATGATGTTCCGTAAGAAGAAACTTGACCTCTACACACAAGATGTGCCTATTTCACACATTCTTCGTTAGGTATGAAACTCCGTTCTTGTTCATTTTTCCCTATAATGGGGAAAAGGTTTTATTTCATCCACTTAGGGATTCCTCTGTATGGGGGAGGTGGAGCCGCTCTGTTGTAGTTTAGGAGTGTTGACCTGGTTATTGGGATAGTTACTGTATGAATGTTGGTTCAGTTTAATAGCAGGCTGTTGGAAAAACAGGCAGGAAGCAGAGCAATGGCTCAAAAGCCACCATCTACCAACACTGACAGGACAATACAAGAGTCATTCACTCGGATGTTCTGCCTCTGCCCCCATCCTGAGCTCAGCAGACCTACTTTGTCAAGGAGGAGTCCAAATCTGTGAACACAGGAGAAGACCTGACTGGATTTAAAAGGAGACTCCCCCCATGGAGAGAGAGAGTTAATGGGACCCAGACTCAGACTGACACCCAGACGCCAGAGGCTAAGGGTGACTGGGAAAGTGAGGCCTGCGTAGGATCCCTACCAGGGCCGGCTCCAGGCACCAGCTTAACAAGCCAAGGGAGAGGGGCGGGACCTGCGGCAATTCGGGGGCGGCAGGTCCCTCACTCCCTCTAGGAGCGAAGGACCTGCCGCTGAACTGCCGCCGCCAATCGCGGCTTTTTTTCCCCCCCCCTCCCGATCGCGGCTTTTTTTTTTTTTTGCTTGGGGCGGCAGAAATGCTGGAGCCGGCCCTGGTCCCTACCAAAGGATGGCAGGACTCTAAGTAAAATAGACATGCAGATAGACCTTTTGTTGTTTTAAAATCCTCTCTGATGTCATGCTGTCTTCATACTGTAATACTTTGGTTTAAGAAAGCTGCCTGGTCACAAGCTCCTGAAGGGAAGACCCACAGGTACTGACCCCAGTCCGACCTGTTGGGGTAAACACAGTCAATACACAGGGTACATTCTAAGAGTGGTAGAATCACGCGATTCCACTCCAGGAGAGAGATAAAGGTGTGAGGCCTGATACCGAAGGGATGCATTCAGGGACCGGATGGATCAGAGGTGCAGCTAACCCTGCAACGGAGACAGTCTGTTCTAGTTCCACTTTAGCGTGAAAACAAACAGACCTCAACAAAAGGAATGACTCTCCATCACATCTGAAAACTTTATTTGAAAAAGGCTTGATAGTACATTGAATAGGGTTTTGATTGATTATATTACAATTCCGTAAATGCTGCTTTGGTTTTGATCTAAATATTTAGAGGCTTAACATGAAGTACTTAAAATGCTTCGCGTTCTGGCTAAATGGACAATTCCTGATATAGTGATTCTCATCTTTTAAAATCTGAGTCACACTTTTAAAAGTTGTTGTAAATAACTGATTATTGTGTCATCTGGACAGAATTTTGCAACATCAATATTACACTGTAAACCAACAATATTAACTTAACAGAAACTTTGTTCAAACGAACATGTAGGTCCCGATTCAGCAAAGCATCGGAGCATGTGCTTACAATTAAAGCACATGCTTAAGTGCTTTGCTGAATCAAGACCTTAATATCTGTGCATTCTTACTGCATTGAAGGATATGTTTATTAAAATCCCTGCTCTCAACTCACCAATGACTTCTGGTTGAGATTCCTTTAAGATGCAGTTATGCCCTGAAAGTGACTAGATAAAAATTGCACCTTCTTATTCAGACCTTCTCCCTGTGTGAATTCAGGGTCATGGGTGCTGGCTTTAGAGAAAAAAGATCTAGTATTTACTCCTCTTATGTGCATTGGCTGTGAAGAACTCCGAGAAAATGACGTGTATTCTAGTTTAACTCATGCATCATCTACAGGAATTGTTAACTAAACCTTTGCAGAGCCAAATTCTACTATGCTACTTGATTATACCTGTGCAACCCCATTTTTGTGGGACTGCACAGATGTGAGGTCAGAATTTAGCCTGGAGAATCTTTACTACTAATGATGCTTAAGAAGGAGAAAAAAGGTAGACTTTCAGATTTTGGGCAGGGCTGGTACATCAAAAAATGAATAGGTTTTGTTCTTGTAAACCAAGCAAATTTAATTGGGAAATCACTGAGACATAAGGCAGTTTTGAGTCATTTTTCAAAGTAGAACTGAACTCTAAGTCCCAAAGATTATTTTTTCCAATGGAAGGAGAATGGGAGTTCACCTACCACTCTGCTTCTCTTAAGTAGTTCTCTTATTGATTTTCCCACTCTCCAATTTTACCTTAAAAGCATTTGACCATCTTCAGCACATCATTTCAGATTTCCATAACCTTCCATCTGAAAGCTGAACTTGTTTTCCATAGCTGTCAATTTAAATATTTGGATTGTGAAATAGGCACTCTTCTTCTCCTTGTCTTTCCTCAAGGTCTAGGAAGTCGAAAATCATGTGTGTCACTGAGAGATGAACCAACCTACAAAATTTGAATCCTGATTTTGAACACCTCCAAAAGTCAGCTGTTCAGATGTGAAGTTTGGGTTTAGAAAGATAGAAGTGGATGCAAAATTCTGATTCAGATCCAGAGTATCAAAGCTTGGAGGTGTTTGGACCTAAGTTATTTGTTCTGCACATCTCTAGTTGCACCGCACTCACTGCAAAATTAAGAGTGCCTCCTGGTCTCTTAGCAGGACAAAAGGCTCAGAAATGGGACTAGTGGCTTTCATTGGACAAGCCACTATGTTTTCTTCTCCATTAAGATGCGGTCTTCAATAAGTCCTGATTTCCTGTCTGACTACTTCCAGCAGTACCTGAAGTTTGAATGTAAGATAATCTGCCACAAGAAAAAAAGGAGAGAGGAATGCTTAATTTGGTTTTTGAACTATGTTAAAACTGGTATTTGGGTGGAGTATTTTGTGTGGAGAAACAATTTATTTCAATACAATTGAAACTATGTCTAATACAGCCCATTCTTTAGCAAAAGGTATCTCTGCTACCTTTCCTTCTGTATCTTCTTAGACATTTTCAATGGTTGTTGACAGTACAGAACCCAGGGCAATTTACTAATGCACCAAGTCTAAAGAAGTCAGGGTGCAGGATAAAACACAGATGTGATCAATGCTTTATCTGAGAGACGAACATTGTATTAAAGGTGGCAGAGCTACCCCTGAAACTTTGTGCTTGATACCACATGGGGAAATCCTTTCAAAATATATCTTACTTGTATTCCAGATCCATTGTCCATACATACTTCATAAGATTTTTCTAAAGACTGGATAAAAATCTTGGTGTTCCATGACCAACATGTATATTTTGCCTGTTTACAAGTATATACTGGGAACTAGAGAAAACAAATACAGTATTTCCCTTCTCTTCCTATCAGCGCTTTCCCCAGGCTTTCAGCAGAAATTGGTATGTACAGCATCGTCATTGGGGTCTATCAAATTCGCAGGTGTGAAAATCACGTCACGGACTGTGAAATCTCATCTCCCCTATGAAATCTGGTCTCTGCCCACCCAGCTGTGAAGGCAGAGCAAAGAGCTGCGGCTGCTGCCCTGGTGCCCAACTCTGAAGGCAGCGCCAGCCACAGCAGAGAAGTGAGGGTGGCAATATCGTGATCCCCTAATAGGCTTGCGACCCCCTTTTGGGTCCAGGCCCCTAGTTTGAGAAACACTGCAGAGAAATCACATATTTTTCATGGGTTGGTCATGGCATAAATAGCAAATTTCATGGATATGTAACACATCCCAGAAATTTGCTATTTATGCCATGGCCAACCCATGAAAATGGTGTGATTTCTGTGTGATTTAAATAGACCCCTTATCACAATACATTTTTATTAGAGATAGGGCCAAATTGCAACCCTAGAACCAAACCCCTGAAATTTAGTGACATTCAGATCTAGAGCCAATCACTGCAGCTTGGGTCATCCTCTAATTTTAATTTCTATAGTTCCTTGTATTAAACCCAAACTTAGTATACACAGCCTCTCATAGGCAGTCATTTATGAATCCTGAGTAGAATCTAATACTACATTATGTTTATGGTTATCCCTTTTATCAAATTTATACTCACAGATTGTGGTACGGCAATATTCAGGTATTGGCCTGCGGATCACCAAGAAGTAGACTGGAAAACCACTTAAAACCATGGCACAGCCAATGCTGACATACACTGGGTCTGAGTAGAAAGACATTCCCACCGCGAAGAGGCAGATGACGGTGAAGGAGACAGGAATGAAGAGGGGAACCTGGGGAAAAGAGCACAGACCTTTCTAATCATATCTGACCATTGTAATTTGTCTTAATTTATCCAAACACGTTATGTGTTAACTTGTACCCAAATATTTATCAATAGCTAGACTCCTGTGTCCAGAAGACAAGAAACCTGGCCAGTCCAATCTTTCTGTACAGTCTGTCTCCAACAAGTGGGATGCATGATCTCTTGGATATGGTCAAATCTACTACATTACAGTAACACCACCAGCACATTCTCTCACCTCTCTTGATGAGGCATAGAAGCAGACATTAGTCACTATCTCAGGAGTCGCCATATATAAAATGTAACACCTTATGCAGCCAGGAATTTAGCAGGAGGCAGAAATCAACCATGCCCCAGCTGCTTTCTGAGTTTATTATGGACTGGTCTTAGCTCTCATCTGTTGATATTGCTGGTGGAAAATCATGAGCATGTGCTACCATGAGTAGCATGTGCCCTTTCAAGTAAATGATTTTCAATGTGCTTATGTAGTGGCGTAATTCGTTTTGAGCAGTCTCTCGTTTGCCTCAGGGAAGGCCAAATAAGCTTGAGAGACTGCTTCATGCTAGCAGCACCATACTTCAGTGTACAGTTTGAGTAGCTACCACTGTAACTTAGAAAGCTTGCTAGGAAGCCAAATGACCTGGGCTGTTTAAAGTTCAGGATAAATTAGCAGACCCTAATAGAACTGCAAAGTGATTTTTTTGGATTGTGGATCCAATCTCACCCAGTTTCCATACAATCCAATTGAAAAGATGTGATCCTAATCTCTGGAAAAATCTGATAGTTCACCTAAAATAAAAATCTCCCTTCTAGCTCTTTTAGACTCTAGTCTTTCGTAATCAGAGGTGATCTGCTGTTCGTGCCGTGACTGCTATAAACTAACAAACAACTCACAGGCTAGTTTGGTTCTCTTTCCTAGTCTGTGTTCCTCAGGGTCAGCACACTTTAGCACACATAGCAGTTAGTTAATTAAGTAATGAAAAAAAGCCAAGCAAGTAATCACTAGGAAGAAATTAAACAACTGGTTGGGAGTTAGTAAAAAAACCCTCAACCTCCTGCATCTTCTGTATGTTCTGAACCCCTTGTAATGGAGATCATGGTAGCCAAACCAACTCAGGATTCAAATTGCAGTTCAAGGATCTCATTCCCGTGCAATTACCAATAGTACTGCTCCTCTGTTCAGGGGCGTGTAAGGGATGAAGCTTCTTGCTTTTGTTAGTTTTCTATTATTTTTAAGCATAAAATCTACAGGAAAAAATGAGCAATCATAATAATTATACAAATAAATGGAACAATATCAACAGTAAGGATTTTCCTCTATGGCCACTAGAGCGCAGCATCTGTACATATCACACTTAAACTGGTCTTTCCTCTTTCAGAAAGACAGTTCTTCAGGCAGAAGAATAAAGCCTGTCTAAATTGTCATCTCTTCTATTCAATTTGTCTCTTTTCAAACTCTCAGAAGTGGTTTAAAGCCCAAATTTAGACCCAATAGAATGAGGTAAAATCCTTGGGGGGGGGGGGAATCAGTACATTGCTGATTTCTTTGATAAACACTCACGCTTTATCAAACGATTCTAGTTCAAGAAAATATATTTTTAAAAGGTGGTTCTCAGTGAATTTGTGGGTGCAGCCAGCATGCTGTCTGGGAAAGTTGAGGGTGTCTTTTAATACGTTCCTTTAGCAAGGACTTGGAGTGGGGTGGCAGGCTGGGATGGAAAGAAAATTCACCCAGAAAAAAGGGTCAGTACAGTTTGGGGGATAGACAAAGGTTCAAGCTGGTGCTTGTTTTTTTCTTGAACTGCTTCGCCAATCCCTTCTCTAACACATATAGACCACGGCACTCTAGCATCAGTAAGTGGCTGGAAGCACACACAGGCAGAGAATGGATATAAACAAATTCTTAGCATCTAAATCAGGGACGGGCAAACTTTTGGGCATATAAACTGTATGGCGAGCCATGAGTGCTCACAGAATTGGGGTTGGGGTGCAGGAGGGGCTGAAGGCTCTTGTTGGGGGTGCAGGCTCCATGCTGGGGCCAGAAATGAGGAGTTCAGGGTGCAGGAGGATGTTCCAGGCTGGTGGGTGGAGTGGGGGGTGAAGGCTCTGGCTGGGGATGAGGAGTTTGGGAGGTAGGAGGGGGCTCTGGGCTGGGACTGAGGGGTTCGGAGGTGGAAGTGGGATCAGGACTGGGGCAGGGGTTTGGGGCGTGAGGGCTCCGGCTGGGGGTGCAGGTTCTGGGGTGGGGCTGAGGGGTTTGGGGTGCAGGAGGGTGTTCCACACTGGGATTAAGGGGTTTGGAGGGTGGGAGGGGGTTCAGGGCTGGGGCAGGGGGTTGGGGCATGGGTGAGGCTCAGGGGTGTAGGCTCTGGGTGGCGCTTACCTCAAGCAGCTCCTGGAGGCAGCAATATATCCCTTCTCTGGCTCCTACGCAGAGGCATGGCCAGGTGGCTCTGCACACTGCCTCGTCTGCAGGCACTGCCCCTACAGCTCCCATTGGCTGCGGTTCCCGGCCAATGTGAGCTTCGGGGCCAGAGCTTGGGGTGGGGTCAGCGTGCAGAGCAGAGTTCCCTGGCTGTCCCTACACGTAGGATCTGGAGGAGGGCCATGTCGCTGCTTCCAGGAGCCATGTGGAGCGGCTCCTGACCCCACTCACAGGTGGAGTGCCGGAGCGGGGTAAGCCCCGGCCCAGACCCTGCTCCCCAGCAGGAGTTCGAGGGCTGGATTAAAATGGCTGGTGGGCCAGATTCGCCCTGCGGGTCAGTTTGCCCACCCCGATCTAGATAAAACACCATCCATGCACTTAGAGCTCAGCAGACTGTCCATCCAGGACACTCAACCTGGGGGGTAGACCTGACAAGAATGGCATGGGCCGGAGAAGAGGAGCATTGTGGGAGTCAGGAAAACTGCATAATCCAGAATCCACTTTGATTCCCCATTGCAAACAAGATGCAGCAGAGAAAATGGTAGGCAGGTTGAAACCTACTTTTCCTTCCTGCTCCTAAGGTGGTCCCTAATACAGCTGGAAATAAGAAATGCTCCCACATACTGGACTATGGGCTCAGGATGCAGCTCTCCAGCCCAAACTTTGTTGCTCTCATCTGCCAGAGTATGTGTCTCCTGACCCCAAAGAGACAGACGATGCACATGAGTTGAATGGGCTAGATCAAAATTACGCCTTCTATAAGCTGCTGTTGGTTGATTGCTGTGCATTTCTTACTCCTCTAAAGCCTGTATTGGTGGTGGCTGTACTTGAGCAAACTTACAGCACAATGTTTGGGGGTGGGATGGAAGAGCTGTTGGAGGACCTCTCGGGGGAGAGGAAACTAGGGGCTGGGATAGAGGGATCTTGCAGGGAGAAGCTCTAGGAACAAACTAAGCTCAGGAGGAAGTGTTAGCTGAGGCTTGTGCTTTGTTGTGGCAAACCCCATGCAGGGTGTTTGGACACTAGCCTTCTTGTGTGCGTATCAGAGAGTGGGGTGGGGGCTGTCTAGTCTCACCAGATCTCCTGACTCCCAATCTGACCCCCTACCCATTGGACTATGCTACCGTCTTAATTAAACCTGACTGTTCACACCTTGGTAGAACACTGCTTTACTGAAGGCTGTCTGACCTTTCCAGTGGCAGACAAAAGGTCCCATATACCGGGTTACCTCTCCTAAGTCTAAATGGAACTGAGGCAATGCTCAGTGGTTTGAGCATTGGCCTACTAAACCCAGAGTTGTGAGTTCAATCCTTAAGGGGGTCACTTAGGGATCTGGTGCAATATGCTGCATTTTCTAGCTCTCAGTGAACGATGCAGAAAGAAGCCAGTTACAACAACGATGGGCCTGGCTTTGAAACCGGCCGTGTGTTACCTTGAATGGCCTGGGCAGCTCTGGATGACGGTAACGATGGATGATGAGTCCCAGTGTGGCTAATCCTATGAAGAGCCATCGGGAAAAGCTGAAGAAATTCAGAAGGTGGTAGATGTCTCCAACGCACACCATAGCGGTAACCAATGGCAACTGGGGGTTGTAAAAATGAAACATTCATTAAATCCTCATCCCAGCCTTTAGCAATTTAAACATGGATGGGTCAGAAACTCACATTTACAATCAGCCGCAGTAAGATAAAGCTGGCACGCTCTGGTTAGGGACCGATTTTAATGCTGAGCTGAGACTACTATATTCTCTTCATATGAGGTTTCAGATGGGAATGCATGGTAGGTAAAAGGCTGCATTTTTAAATAAAGGAGTTTTCACCGCTTCAATCAAAGAAGACACTGCTGGTGTTAGAAAGTACTTAACCATGGCCATGCAAAATTGGTGAAACATTTTGCACAAAAATTCATTCCATGTGATTTCACTCCATCCCCGAAATGTCAGTGTTTGTAACATTTGAAGGACTCAGTTATTGACAAAGAAAGCAGACAAAGCCTGGAAGAGACATTTTTGTGGGATAATTTTGAGAAATTGTTGTGGAAGGTGGAGGTGGCAGCAACCCTTTTAGTTTAAGCCACACGTTAAGTGGATTTTAAACTCAGGACAAGGAGCCAGGAGGTCTTGAGTTCAAATCCCATCTCTGTCACTAAGCAACTTTGATAATACTTTGCAATATGCAGTCAATGTAAACTCGTTTGCAGGTGTGAATGAATACCCACAGAAACCTTTTTGCAGTATTCTATCCCTTTTACTCTTTACAGACCTGAGAGTAACTTGATTCCCTTTAAAATCTCACACACCTGTCCAGACTTTGCATAGTGACACTAAAATAAGAAGCCAATCAGAACTGCGGGACAGTAGAAATTCCAATTGTAAAATCGGATCTCCTCACCATTAACATGACGGCTGGAAGGGGAGTGTGCCTTCGGATGTGGATCATGGAGAAGAGAGGAGGCCATTGACCCTCCCTTGAAGCCACAAATAGAGTCCTGAGAGAAGACATGGAGCAGTACAAGAACCTGAGTTCCAGTCTCCTGCATCTGCACTAGAGAACTGAATCACTGGTAGTTGAATGGGTGACATAAAGCCAGCGTAAGTACCAACAATACAGGCTGTCCACACTAACCATGCTAATTAGGGTGCAGTTTAGCCCCAAGACCACACTTGAACTTGACTACATCCTTGTAGCTGCACCATCCTCTGCTAATCTATCCCACAGTTCCTGGCACAGCTTCCTGAAACAGTAGTTTGTGGGAGATTTTGAAAAACAAAGTCAAACTCCCTTTATTCTCTTGGAAATTCCCATAAGTCCCCAAGAACTGGCCCTGTTTCCAAGTTCATTTCTCATGTTAGAGGCCAGGGTGTTCTGGCACTGCCTTGGAGAACCAGCAATTCCCAGGATTGCTTGTGTGCCAACTAGCTGATGAGTGATATCTACTTGTGTGTTGTCAACAGATTTGGCGCCAGTGCTCTCCTCCTGTTTATACTATCAATCAGTTAGCAAGATTTAAAAGAATCTGACCTTGAAAACGTAAAGATCCCCCCATTCATGGTTCCAAAGCAGGACAGGGCAACCAGGATGGGAATCACGGAGACAAGTCTTTGGAAAGCTTTTTGTGCAAAACTCTGGAGGAAAGACACGCTTCAGTTCAGAAACAACCTGGTAATCCCTGAATGGCATCAGAATTAATGGAAAGAGCTGGATGGCCTTCCACTGAAAGGCTTAAAACAGAACTGCACTTACTTCCAAGTCTGCATTACCTATTCCTCTTCCCCCACTGCCATCTTGATCTCTATTTCTTATTCCATCTCCTCAGGCAAAGCTAAGAGATGTTATAGCTTGCTGATACTCTTGAAAAGTGACAAAGCTGAAGGCCTTTCCGCTATAAAATCCATTATTACTTTCCACATCCTAGAAGCCTCCCCATCCCTACCCACTTAATGTAAATTGATCCCTCCGAAGAAAACTAATAATGGGGTTACAACTCACCACAGCCACAGCCTGGGAAGCCAGCACATCCTCTGCTGTCAAGACTGTATAATAGGAAACGTTGGTGAGCATGTACCCCACAATTACAGTGACCACAGACACTATCACAGCCAGTGGGTTATTTCTACAAAAGCGGGAGAGAGACAAAGCGCTAATGAGCAAAGCTGTTTTTTTTAACTCGCAGATCAGTACTACCACGCCAGGTAGTTAGAAGAACTAGCACTCATTTTTCTTTCCATTTAAAAGGCAGCTTATTTTGAAATAATGCTGTCTCCAATGGCTGATCTTAAAGGCCCCTCTCCTATTCTTACCGTTCAGGTCGGACCAGTTCTTCTCGCACAAAGCTAGTTTGAAACCTGCAGAGTGGAAGAAGACAGGTTATGGCAGAGTTTAAATAACGGCTCTGGAGAAGCACTGTAGACTTAAGAGTTGATGCTGCCATTCGTTAAAGTACCCTGACTGCACATACCAGCCTGAATATGCAAACATCCCAGCATAAAAAGCCAAGGGCAGTTTGTCCAAAGCCAGCGATTGACTACTGAAAGCATCCTGGAAATTTTCAGTGTGGCCTAAAATAAAAAGGAGAGAAACGCAGGGTTAGAGCGCACTGAAGACAGAGACTTCCCCTCTAGTGTTGCAAAAAAAAAAAAAACAATTTGCAGAAGAGGTTCAGTTTCTCTCTGTCTCTCATACAACCCCAAGAGTTTGTGGTTGCAGGATCTTCAATTATTTATAATGAATTTCAGATTTGTTTTGTTACTTTAATTCACAGAGCTCAGTTGACTTGTTAGTGCCCAATACAAGCTCTGCTGTAGAAAAGATTTTTGAAAGGGGAGTGATGGTGATTGGTTCCCTCTCTCACACAGTCTGCTCTGGAGAAAGCAGATCATAGAGCTGAGGAGGCCAAACATGGCCTGAGAGAATCTCTACTCGTAGAAAACCTCTTTCTAGACCTGAAATGAACTCCCTGACCCCCAAACTCTGGATGTGTGCTCTACTTCGAGGTTGCGCAGCCAGCTAATGCTGCTCAAACTGCGCTACCCTGACTCCTTAGCACTAGCACCGACCCCAGCCTCATGCTGTGTACAAGATGGGAATCACAAAAAAAAAGAGCTCTAGGAGGTAGCACAAAGAGTGGAGTTAGTGCTCCTTTGGAGCAACTTCATGAAAGCACACTTCCCTGCCTACACTGCACTGCTCTCTCTCCACTGACTGCTGGAGAGGGAAGAAAAATTGAAGAGCTGGAGGGTTGAGATGGACAAAAACAAAGGTGGTTTGGATGGGGATCCCATTTTATTAGGTGATTGAGAAAACAAAGCTTGTGGAATCAAAAGAAAGCGGAGATTGAAGAAAACTAAGCAGCAAGTTAAAATAGTATGAAAGAGCCTAGAAAAAAAGGGACAGTGTTCTTTAAAATACTTAAGAAATTGTAACTACAATAGAAGGACAAAAAGAAAGGCAAAAAGGAAAGGAAGAGAGAAGATAGGACAAAATTCTCTGCCGGGATCAATGGAAAGGTGAGTGGGTACAATGGAGAAAGCTGCCTACGTTTGGGGGAGGTTATGTATCTTCTAAAATGTTTGCTGATAAATGAATATATAATAAAACAATTTATTGCAGGGGTGGCCAACCTGTGGCTCCGGAGCCGCATGCGGCTCTTCAGAAGCTAATATACGTCTCCTTGTATAGGCACCGACTCTGGTGTTGGAGCTACAGGTGCCAACCTCCCAATGTTCACTGTTCAATCCCTGCCTCTGCCACAGGCCCTGCTCCCACTTCACTCCTTCTCCCAAGGCCCTGTCCCTCCCCCGAGCCTGCTGCGCCCTTGCTCTTCTCCTCACCCCAGAGCCTCCTGCATCCTGCATGAGGCACAGGGAGGGAGGGGATGCGCTGATCGGCGGGGCAGCTGGCAGGCGGGGCGGGGGAGTTGATGTGGGCTGCTGACATAATACTGTGGCTCTTTGGAAAGGTACATTGGCAAATTCTGGCTCCTTCTCAGGCACAGGTTGGCCACCCCGATTTACTGTTTGCGATGATTTACAATCCCTGTAATGTATAGTTACATTAAGTACAACCTGGAATTCTGAGGTCTCTGACCACACTTCTCAGATCTCACTAGCATGATTCCTACCACGGGGGTGGTGCCAGGCATCCAGAGTGTCATTTGAGGGCATTCTGAGCAATAAATTGCTGAGGATTTTCTGGTTCAGGTCAGAAGCACAGCCAGCCTGATGGGCTTTTTGCATATCCCATTAAGCTGGTTCCGGATGACAACCAGAAATATGAACGTTCACCCCGATCCCTTTATTCTCTCAATGGAAGAGATAAAATGAGGACACAAGATTAATTATCCCAACTGTGAACACTGTGGAAGACTGGTCTACACAGGAAAGGTATATACCCAGTGTAACTCCCAATGTGCCCACTATTGTTCTGGTATGAGTGTCCTTTTTCAGTTTAGTTTATGTGCTTTGGAAGGATTTTAAACTAAACAAAAAAAATGATACACTTATTTCAGAATATGAGCATCTACGCTGGGAGCTATACCAGGGTAACTATATCTGTTAAACTAAGGCAGTAGAATTATACCAGTCAAAAGATAAAACCTTCCCATGTGGACAAGCCCTTAATGAATGCCCTCCCGCAGATCACAGCTGGCAGACCCACCTTGGGCCAGAAGCATCATCCCTGGCACAATGATGAGTGCGAGAGCCAGGAGTTTGATGACAGATAGGACATTCTGAAGCCTGGCACTCCAGCTGACACTCCAAGAGTTCAGGATGAGGACTGTGTCTGGAGGAGAAGGCAAAGAACACCATGTATAGCTGGGGCTCAGAAAAAAAAATCAGACAAATTTTACTCTCATGCTTTTCCCATTGTCTCAGCCTATTGCCCTGAGTACACTGAATAGAGAGACAGCAACACTCCCTGTCCTTGGTGCTGGGAAGAATTCTTAGAGACCAGAAAGTTCAGAGTGACAGATATTTTAAGACCATATAAATGACCCAGAGCATGACATTTCAAGTGGAAAATGAGGTTACAACCTTGAGAGTGGAGAACAATCTAGTTCACTTCCCTCACATTTGCTGTTGTGTAATCTGTGCCTGGCTGATGAAATAATCCATGAGTGCAATTTCATTTTAGCTTCTCTGCCTCAGAGCGGTCCTTGCATTTGAATCTACTGGGACTGGAAAGGCATGGAAACTTTCACCTGTCAACGGCACTAGTTGGCATTCCCGAGTCTGAACCATATGCTGCTATGTTTTGATGGAGCTTGCACCATATGCAGAATCTCTACTCCCAGCATCACTGTGCATAGCCCAGACATCTCCAATTCCTTTCTTCCAAAATGTCATCAGCCGGACGCAGCATCTAGTCAATACTAGACCATAAGTAAAAACAGACCTTGAAACTTATTTGCTACAACTCTGGTTTCATTTCCCAGCCAATCTGATAGCAGTGCATGGCCAGTGATGATTTCTACTCTCCACCCAGCTTCGCAATCCACAGACCCATTTACATCAGCTTTGTCACTTCATTTCCCCCCGCTTTTTTCTAGAGATGGGGCCAACCCAGAACTCCAGACCCTGAACTTTGGATGGCTCAACATTTACTATGCAATCCAAGTTTCACAGTTTCATCTGTAATGGGACAAGCCCAAACCCTGGATGTAAACACTTCTGAATCTGGGGAGAAGGGGTTCAAAATCTGAATTAAAATTTTGTGCCTTAGACCTACATCTGCTTTATACTTACAGAAACCCAAGAGAGCGACAAGCTTCACAGCAGGAAGTGGGGCTGCACAGGGCGCAAAAAATGGTTCCAATATGTAGTTTCCAAATGCCAGAGAAATCACTGCACTATTGGCTGGCCTATCAGGAGGGACGGATTCATGGAGTTAGAAACTGACTTTCTGGTGTTAAGCAATTTTATATGCAAACAGCTACATTAAAAGAATGTTAACATTTGAAAATTTAAACTGGACAATAAAATCAGGAAATTTAGACTTAAGTCATGCTGGAAGGGCATATCGATTGGGGTGGGATCAGTTCTGTTCAATATCTTCATCAATGATTTAGATAATGGCATAGCACAGGAGTGGGCAAACTACAGCCCGGGGGCTACATCTGGCCCTCCAGACGTTTTAATCCAGCCCTTGAGTTCCCGCCGGGAAGCGTGGTCGAGGGCTTGTCCCGCTCCGGCGCTCCAGCTGGGTAGCGGAGTCGAGGTCTTACCCCACTCTGGATGGCTCCCGGAAGCAGCGGCATGTCCCCCATCTAGTTCCTACGTGTAGGGGAAGCCAGGGGGTTCCGCACGCTGCCCCCGTCCCAAGCGCTGCCCCTGCAGCTCCCATTGGCCAGGAACTGCAGCCAGTGGAAGCTGCGGGGGCAGCTCCTGAGGACAGGGCAGCGTGCAGGAGCTGGAGGGGGAACATGCCACTGTTTCTGGGAGCTGCTTGAGGTAAGTGCTGCCTGGAGCCTGCCCCTCCGACCCCCTCCTGCGCCCCAACCCCCTGCCCCAGCCCTGATCCCCCCCCACCCTCCGAACTTCTCGGTTCCAGCCCAGAGCACCCTCCTGCACCCCCAACCCCCCACCCCCACCCCAGAGCACCGCCCCCAGCCAGAGCCCTCATGCCCTCCCGCACCCCAGCCCCCAATTTCATGAGCATTCATGGCCCACCATACAATTTTCATACCCAGATGTGGCCCTTGAGCCAAAAAGTTTGCCTACCCCTGGCATAGAGAGTACATATATAAAGTTTGCAGACAATACCAAGCTGGGAGGGGTTGCAAGTGCTTTGGAGGACTCGATTAAAATTCAAAATGATCTGGACAAACTGGAGAAATGGTCTGAAGTAAACAGGATGAAATTCAATAAGGACAAATGCAAAGTACTCCACTTAGGAAGGAACAATCAGTTGCACACATACAAAATGGGAAATGACTGCCTAGGAAGGAGTACTGTAGAAAGAGATCTGCGGGTCACTGTATCACAGGGGTCAGCAACCTATGGCACGCATGCCAAAGGCAGCACACGAGATGATTTTGAGTGGCACTCACAGTGCCTGGGTCCCAGCGACCGGTCCTGGGGGCTCTGCTGTCATCCTGGGGTCCCGGACGCCAGCCACCCGTGGTCCCGTCCACCGGTCCCACTCAGCCTGCTGCAAGTCCCGTCCAGCGGTCCCACTCAGCCTGCTGCAAGTCCCGGCCACCGGTCCCAGGGGCTCTGCTGCCAGCCTGGGGTTCTACCGCCAGCCTGGGGCTCTGTTCTTGGCCTCAGCCCAGGGCTCTGCAGCTGCCCCCAGCTATGGCCCACTGGCCCCAGCCTGGGGCAGTGAGGGGTGCAGACAGGGTCAAGAAAAGAGCTCAGCACCCCCACCTTAAAAACTGTTCCAGAGCCACTATACTGGGATATTTTTAAGTCCTGATTTGCTGCTTACATCACTATCACGTCACGTGGAACAGCGCACTGCGTTTGACATTGTGCACGCCGTCTGTCTTGATTTTTTTTTCCACTGGAAGTTGAGGGGTACATTTGACAATATGCCAGCTCCTAAGAAAGGCAAAGTTAGAGTCTGTACATTTCAGCCTTCTTGGACAGACACATTTGGGTTTATTCAAAAGAAAGACTGTGCTGTTTATACTTTCTGTTGTGAAAGTGTTGTTTGTCGCACTTCAAGTGTTCGACGACATTTTCAAACGAAGCACGAGGAAACCTTTCTTGATGAAGCAGACAAGACTGAATCGATCAAAAAGGCAGTAGCAAGATATGAGAAGCAAAGCAGTGTTTTTAAATGCTTAAGTGTAAGTAAAGATCAAGCCACAGAAGGAAGTTACAAGATTGCACAGTGCATTGCAAAAAGCGGAAAGCCGTTTACAGATGGGGAATATATAAAAAGTTTTTCTCAGCAGTTCGGAGGTTTTGTTCAATGATTTGCCAAATAAAGATGTGATCGTATCTAGAATAAAAGAACTGCCTGTCTCTGCCAGAACAGTTGAGAGATGCGTAAGTGAAATGGCAGAAAACATTAATGAAAAGCAGACAACTGCATTAAAAGACACAGCAGTGTTTAGAGTTGCAGTTGATGAGCGCAAGGATATAAACAATGTTCCACGTTTGGCAGTTGTTGCAAGATATTGTGCTTCCGATGAAATCCAAGAGGAACTTTGTTGCCTAAAACCCCTGCCTGGCACAACAAAGGGGGAAGATATAGCGGAAACTTTTGTAAGCCATTTTGAAGAATGAGGAGTTGACATCAGAAAAATATTTTGTGTGACAACAGATGGTGCTCCTGCCCTGGTCGGAAAACAGAAGGGATTTGTAAAGTTACTTGAAGATCAAATTGGCCGCCCGACAGTCAAATCCATCAAGAAAACCTGTGTGCTAAAATTTCTGATTCAGAGCTTAATAACGTAATGAATACAGTGGTGCAAATTGTGAATGTCCTTGTTGCTCGATCTGCTTTGACTCACAGTTTCAAGCACTGCTGGAAGAGACGGATAGTGCTTATAATGACATTCCACTTCACACAGTGATGAGCTCCCAAAATGTTAAGAACCGGTTCCCTACCAGGGGGGAGCGGCAGGGCTCCCGCGGCTATTTAAAAGACCGAGGCAGCAGAGGCAGCTGGAGCCCCAGCCCTTTAAATAGCCCCCAGAGCCTCCCCTGCTACCCCAGGGCTCCTGGGGCTATACTCACCTCCTGGTCCCTACTGGGTCTTCAGCCACCGCCACTTCGGTGGTGAAGACCCCTGCCGCCTG